CTTACATAAACTAAAACTCAAAACGCTGGGTCAACAGACCCAGGATCATGACAGCAAGTGTTCTATGTAATATTCGTAACTCATTACTTTTTTGAGTAACAAAACCAACACTGATCACAGTAAATTAGAGGACGTACTTATACAAACACACACAACATTTGACCACATAGCATGCTATTAAATTGCATGACTGCAATGTCTTTGATATACTACTTAGTGATGGTGGTGACTTAAGACGGAGCCAATGACAATCAATCAGGAATCGTGTAATGTCTTTCAGGAAACAAGATCCTCAACCTAATGGGATTGAGCCTGTTGAAAGCAACAATCAGCGCGGGATCATACAAAGCCACTATTCCCAGCGAGGCTATTAAAGATACTTACCATTTCCGCCACCTTCTGTACCGCTTTGCTGCCCATGTGACTACAGGTGGAAAACTAAACAATCATGAGGAGGGATGTTTGAAAAAGCTGGGCAGCGACTGCAATGTCTACTTGCAGATGAAAGCCCATGACTGCTTCCACTACAGACAAGTCTTGGCTGCACTCACTGACGTGTTAAAGAGGTCAGGCCTGCCGCAGGTGAGTGGAAGATCATGCAGTATCTCATATAGTACACTACAGCTATCAACTACTTAGATGTGTTAGATCAACATCCACTGAAATTTTCTTTCAAGGTGAGCGACAGCTGTCCTGTAATGACTCCAAAAGACCACCTACTCCTCAGTGTGGGATCAGCTGTATATAAGGTTTGCCCAAATCCCGATGCCCTCCGGCCCTACCTCATCAAGGATAATCCAGCAATGCCTGTTGTCTGTAACCATAAGATCAAGATCGATGCTAACACAGCAGGTCAGAGCTTATTTTTGTTGACAAATATGTGAACTATTGATGAGTCCAATCTACACACCATATACGTGCACTTATTGTTTAAGTAATATAGCTGACTTAGACAATGACCCTCTATATGTTACAGTAATGTTTGTGCTTGATGTTACATAACATGAACATATCAATTTAATTGAAAACCATAAAATAAGCGAACTGCAGATTTTGCA